AGATAGATTGTTCTAGAAATAAAATCACTGATGCCATTCACTCATAAGTTCGAGAAATCTGAAAAATATGAACTATGTGGTATTGATTGAATAGCAGATCTCTGTCTTCCATCTTCTTCATATATATTCTGGGAATGTGAGTCAAATAGATAAAGGCATAGAAATGAAGTGAATACAACACAACACATAGCACTGTCTTCGTGACTTGAAATTAGGGTCCAATTTGAGTGGTGAAGTTACTGTACTAGAGCACCAGAGCTCCTGAACAGGCAGCTAAGAGCACTGTTTATAGAGCTGGCTTTACACCAGAGAACGTTGCTCATTTAGCTTTCAGAGTTTGACAAAGTAGACCGTAGCCTCTGTTCTCTGTGAGGAAGGCAGACATGCTTTTGAATGAGATTAGTCAAAATCATCTCTCTTAAAAACCAAAGCTCTTAGAAAAGTACAGTTCCTGAGGTACCTTTGACTCTTGAAAACCAGGCAACCCATATCCATGGGAAAGTGACAATTTTTTATCATCTATTCAAAAAAATCCAACTGTGTCTCAAGTGGTTTTGTGCTCTATGCTGTGCACTGAAAGCATACTTCACAAGGACCAGGAGTTCCAACATATACCTTTTGACTCTTAAAGCAGAACTTGAGCAATATTCCATTTAACTCAACATTCACTTTATAGAAATTCTAGAAAGTCCTTTACAAGGCCTAGAAAGGCAAACTTTCCAGGATCATCCAGTGGCCTTGAGTCAATTAGTAGAAAATAAATCAGGAGTTGTTTCTCTTAGTCATCCCTTCACCACAGCTTGAAAGGTTCGTTTGCTTGAAGGCACTGGGAAAATAGCCACCACCCAGTTGGTCTGTGGGAAAGACAGACAGCACTGATGGTGCTATAATCACTGCCTTTTCTGTGAAGGTTTCCCAGTCCTCCTGCTCTGAGGGGCCAGTGAACCCTTGGGAGCAGTGGGTTAATGAGTCCAGTGGGACAGACTCCCCACGTGGTGACAGCAGCAGCCCTGACAACACAAACCACATGCCAAGCTGAGGGGCAGCAACACCACTGACCATAAATGGGACTGGCCAGAACAGCAGTGTAGCCCAAGACACACACACTGTTGACACTGGCTCATTGGTGATGGGGTAGGCAGGGACTCAGGTCTTCCATCAAGAGTTCTTTTGGCTTGTCATTGTGGCTGACACAGAAAGCTCAAAAGAGGTTGCCAGGAGAAAATTTGATGGAGATAACTGTTATGTGGCAGCAGGTTGCCAACACAGGGAAAAGGAGGTTAGACAAGGGTCACCAGCTTAATCTGGCTGCCTCACCATGCCACAGGAACACAGCACACCATTCCGCCTTCGGACAAATCTTACTCAACGGCCTGACATCTTCCAAGGGGGCATGCTACTACAAAGCCACATCTGAGTCTGGTTGCTACAGTAACGCAGTATCCAGTAATGCACTGTGAATCCATAACATGAACACAGATACTCTCTTGAAAGTCAGCCCATCCAGTGGTGGACATGTTTGGCATCAACATTAGAAACTTATTCAGCTTGGGCTGCTATAACAAGATACCATAGACTGGGTGGCATAAACAATAGAATTTACTCCCCACAGTTCTGATGGCTGGAAGTCCAAGATCAGGTGCCAGCATGGTTAGGTCTTGGTGGAAGCTCTCTTCCTGGCTTGCAAAAGGCCACCTTCTCACTGTATCCTGGGAGATCAAGCTCTTGGGTGTCTCTTCCTCTTCTTATAAGGACACTAATCCCTTTGTGGGGTCTCTACCCTCATGACCCCATCTAAACCTAATTATCTTTCAAAGGCCCTACTTCCTATTAATAATACCCTCACATTGGGGGTTAGGTTTTCGGCATATGAGTTTTGGGGGGACACAAACATTCAGCTCACAATAGTCAGGCAAGAAATGAGAAGCTCCCCATGTCACTGGCAGCCCTGCTGCCCCTTCTGGACCTGCCCTTTTCCAAGGTGGTTCAGGAGATGCTCTCCATCCCTGCCCTGCTTCCATCAAATGGCAGGGCAAAGCCTTCCCCGAGAGACTTACGGATGCAGCTGTTCTATTGTTTCTCAGCTGCTGTGACCTAAAGATGTGCCCGGAAGGGCGGCATGTTGGGCTGGAGGTAGCCTGTAGTCTTCCCGTCAGCATGCACTTGGTGAGTGAGTGCTGACTGCTTGAAGTTCATTGCCAGGAATGAGGAGAAATGCTGATGGCCTCTGCAGCAGGATGATGGAAGAGGCGGGTCAACATGCCAGAGGATCCAACCCTCAGTCCTCAAGGAAATCACAGTGGCTACTTGTCTTGCCAGCCTCAGCTAGGCCGGTGATTCCCTACCTGGCCTCCACCTCCTTTAATGGGAAGAAGAAAAATGAGAATTTCAGAGCAGAAGAAAGATTTGGATCATTGCCAGAGAATAATTCAAGGCAGACTCCTCAGTTACCCTTCCATGAGAATGAAGGAACTCGAGCTTCTGGACCATGCTTGCAAGACTCCAGTCCTCTGAGAATTCATTTCTCAGGCTCCCGGGTTGGCAGGCTCAAGGCAGTAGCAAGATGATGCTCATTTCTCCCTTGAAGGATTTCTGAATGAAATGCTTTAGGAGAGTTTGTTCCCTTTTTGCTTCCCAATGTTGCTGGTGCCAGAATGAGGTCATCCATGGAGAAAGGGCTTGCTCCTGGGCTAAGCTTGGAGCTGGCCAGTCCCATTTCTGAGGTCCTGCCTGGAATCCGGAAGGCCCAGAGAGCACTGTATCCCCCAGTCCCCTACCAACCTGGGATGTCTGCCTCAGAGTCCGAGCAAAAGCTTAACATCAAAAGGACTTTTGGTTAGCTGGGAATCTGGCCAAGAGACCTTTTAGCTAAGTAATTTTTTTTGTTAACCTTTTACAATATTGTTTAAATTTAATTTTAGAATTAAACTGTAACTGCAATGACACAAATGGACATTATACCATTAAAAAACAAAATAAAATTTGTTTCAGCTTATCAACTGCCTTCTACTTTCCAACCTGAGCTGTTATTTTTTACCACGATTTTATTATAAAAGTTTTCAAGCATAAAGTTGCCAGAGTTTAATAGCAAAAACCCATATTCCTACCACCTAGATTCTACAATCAACATTTTCTGTACATACTTCATCATCTATCTATCCATCAAGCCATCCCTCTACTTAATTGTCAGTCCATATTTTTTGATATATTTCAAAGGAAGCTGTGCTCATCAGTATACTTGCCACCCAGTACTTCTGTTTGCATTAATATTTTTTATGGTTCTTTTCCTTTTGAGGTAAAATTTATATGCTATATAATGTACAAATCCAAATCATTTGCATATGCCATATCAAGACAGAGAATGCGACCATCACCCAGAAAGTTCCCTCATATCATACTCCTTCCTCGTCATTCTCCACCCCTACCCAGGCAGAGGCAACTACTGTTTTCTGATTGTTTTCTACCATTGATTCATTTTCCTGTTCTGAAACTTTATTTAAATGGAACCATTCAGTTGTGTAAGGCTTTTCTCACTCAGCATAATGTTTCTGAGGCTCATCCAAACTGTTGTGCAGATCAGTAGTTCATTCCTTTTGATTACTATGGAGTATTCCATTGTGTAAATATACCACAGCTTACACATTCATTCTCCTATTGATGTTCACCTAGCCTTCCAATTTTTGAACATTATGACAAAAGCTACTGAGAACAATTTTGTACAAATCTTTTTTATGAATATATGTTTTCATTAACCCTGAGTAAACACCCAGGAGTGAAATTGCTGGATTATGGGGTAGATGTGTGAATATTTATTCTACATTCCCATCAATAGTGGAAGGGAGTTCCAGTTGCTCCACATTCTCATGAACATTTGGTGTTATCAGTCTTTCCAATGTTAGATCTTCTGATGGGTGTAAAGTGATTTAAGCTGCTATTTTGGCAAATTTTCCAAACTAGAAAAAAATACATATGTACAAGAATCAAGTTTGTTTGTTTGAAAGAAGTCTACAGATTGGCAGATGTGACATTAGAAAAGTGTACCTTATCCACACTCAGAACATACAGTCAACAGCTTGAAGGAATAAGCAATGGCTGAAGGGATATGGAACAAGCAGCCAGATGTATTCTTCAGTTTCAAATTCTCCCAACTAAATTATAATGTTAGAAAAGTGAAATTAATGCTTAGAAAGCTGTAGCCTTCATTGACTGAGAAAAAGGAACTCTGTGTTTCCCTGCAGACCTGGCCCAGCCTGCAAAATGGAGTCAGGAATCACCCAGATGATTGGGAGAGACCCTGCTTCTCCTGCCCTCTTTCCAATACTGATCCTGGACCTCAGGGCAGAGAATTAACATTTTTGGAGCATCAACAAAGTGTCAGGACCTATCCTGGCATTCTGCATATATTGCCCTTTAGTCCTCACAACAATATCTCTATAAAGTTAGGTGCTGATAGCCTCATGCTATAGGTGTGAAACCAAGATTCAGAGAGACACAGTAACTTGCCTAGAGATAGAACAGCTAGAAGAACCAGGATGTGACTATAAATCCTGTGCTCTTTCCACTCTACCTTGCTAAGGACTTGGAAAGCAAGTTGCAGGGGGCTTAATAGTTTAATGGGTGCTGAGGCCAGTAGTAGAAGGTGTGTGTCTCTCAGTCTGATTTGTCCCTCCTTTTTCTTTATTTTCTGCTTTCTGCTTTCTAGTGTGTTTGCATGGAAGGCAGGGCGGATCCACTCCCCCCTCCCCCAAACACGACCAGTCTTTCCGAGGGGCTGATGTAAAGGAGCTTCGGCCGTCCTCTCTGCAGCTGCCACTGCGTCTCAGGCCTCGGGTTTTCCTCTTGCAGGAAGGAGTCATTAGCCTGTCACTTTCACCTCAGTATCTTAGAGGCTCATGGTCTCTCACTACTCCTTGGTCCTCTTCCACCTCACTCCTTTCTGCCCACTGCGGGGAAGGGAGGTAATTGTGTCCAGGTAATTGTGTTTCCCCAGACCGAGTTACCTGTTCCTGAAAAGCACTAGCTTGCTCTTCAAATCCCGCTGTCCGGAAATAATTGACAACATCCATCACGGCCCAGTCTGCAGGATCAGGTGGTCTCCCATTTTCCATGGAACTGCAAAACACAAATCCAGACAGTTGTCATGGCAGTGCCTACACAAGGGCGTGGCCAGGCTTACTCCTCGGTCAGACCTGGGCCAGCTCACTGGGAACAAGGCCCTCTCTTCCCTCTCAGGCCCACATCTCAGTCGACCTCCCACAGGGCCATAAATAATCCTTCTCACGTTTCTTGGGTTCAGATGAACATTACTCCCATTGGCTTAGTCACTGCTTTCCTAATAAATCATTTCATCTTTAATTTAATTTATTCCCTCACATACTGTTTTTTAATTCAGAGACATTAAGAATGGGCCAGTGCCTTCTGGTGGCCCATAGCACAAGATTCATACTCCTGAGTTAAGAATGCCAAGGCCTTCACAATACGTCCCCAACATAGTTCTCTCTTCCCATCTTCCCACCACCTTCCTCACCCCCATCCCTACGCGTCCAGAGATAAAGCCATTCCTCAACAGACCATGACCTTTCCCAGATCTGGGCCTTTTCACTTTCTGACCCAGCCACTTACACTGCCCTCCCCGTCTCTACCTCACAAAACTCCAACATTCCTACCAGTTCAAAAGCCAACTCTTCTATGAGGCATTCTCTGGCTTTGCTAGGGAAGTGTTTTAGTTATAAACTCTTCTGAGTTCTAGAACTCCATTCAAACTCCCACTGGAACACCTTCCACACACTCCATTTATTGGACAGTCTCTCTCACTAGAGTGAGAGATGCAGGCTAGAGATACACATCTGAATCAGGACCATGTCTCACGTTATTACTCCTAGTGTCAAGCATGGACCTAGAAACTCAACACTGTCAAAATGAATAAAGAGATGACAGTCAAGCATTTGCCTGAGAAGGTCCATGGGTAACTTTCCTCATTGGATTTAGAGAGGAGGGATAGAAGAAGTGGATTAGAGAAAGAATGGCAATGAGCTGCAGCACTGTGACTCTGCCTCATGTCTGTGCTTTGGGAGCATTTTATCTGGATTCCTCAATACCTCACCCAAGGTGATTCTCCCAGAATGTACATCTAATCACATTATTCCCCTGCTTAAGATCCCTCAAATGCCTCCCACTGCTCTTAGGATAAATTCCAAATAGCTTAACTTGGCTTAGGGGGTCCCCTTCCACCTCTCCAGCCATCAGGGAGTGAAACAGCCCTTGTTCTTATGGGCCATAGTCCTGGGGTGGGGGGTGGACACGATCAGTAATCCTACAAGTAAACATACACCTGCAAGTTGTGCTAAATGCTAGGATGGACAGGCACGTGGCACTATGACAGTTTAAGGGGTAAGGGAGGCTTTCCTGTGGAAGTTTCTCTTGAGGTAAGGTCTAAAAAGCAGCCGGAAGTTAATCATATGAAGAAGTCAGGTGAGGATTATACCAGGCTCTGTGGCAGGGATACCTTCAGCCAAGGGGGCCATGCAGATCTCGGAGGCCTCACTGAGGATTCTGGATTTTTGCTAAGAGCAATGGGAAGTTGTTGGATGGTCTCGTGTAAAGGCGGTGACCGGAGCAGATTCACATTTTGAAAAAGGAGGATATTGGAGAAGAGCCAGAGGGAAAGAAGTGTACCAATGAGAGGTCTATTATAGTCATCCAAGCATGAGGTCACAGTGACCCAGACTAGGGTGGTGGACTAGACATAGAGAATGAAGGGGATGGAAGTGTCATGGAACTGGACGATGGCAGTCACTTCATGAGATGGCACCACTAGGATTAGTCGGACATGCTGAATTTGGGGCACGATCTATACCCAAGTGGAGATTTAATGCGGGATACGAGCCGGGAGCTTAAATCAGAAGGGTGGGCCAGACATACACATTTGAGAGACAGAGGTATTTAGATGGGAATTGAACCCTCAAAAAAGGATGGTAAGAGAATTGGGCCTAGGACTAAGCCTGAGAGGTTCAACATTTAGTTCCACAATTCTGAAACATTCTTGAGTACCAGCAATGCCATGGAGAATAAAGAGTTTGTAAAACTGCTGCAGTGTACCACAAAGAACAGGAGCAATGTGGAACTGGGTGCTCTCTCATACACAGGTGAGGGAACCCACCCAAAGAAACAAATCAATACATTTAATGAGTATTCTACCTAAGTGTAAGTCCGATAGTCCCCAAAACACAAAATAACTTGGAAAAAAATCACGACATTGGATTACTCATGTCTCGAAAAGAAAAACTTGTCTATGTTCATCTCTGTAGCTCACCAGCAACTAGCACAGTCTGACTGGTGCATAGTTGATACACAGCAAAGATCTGTTCCATTAAATGTGCTAACAACCAGATAACACTTACAGTCTACAATACACTTTTCACACGTTACCTCATGTCAGTCTCCTGCCTTTTTGTGAACTGGTTACTATAACCCTCTTTTAGGAAACTAAGGCTCAGAAAAGTTAAGAAACTCACCCAAAATCACACAGTAAAGCCAGGGTTGGATTCCAGATATGCTCAACTCCAAACCTATGCTTTCCCCACTATACTTACTTGTTGATACAATAGATACTTACTAAAGGCTTACTGTCTTCCCAGTATCATGCTAGATGCAGGGTTACAGGACAGAGAATGAGCAGGCTGTTCAGAAAGAGCTGGCAATCTGGGGAGGGGAAGCAGGAAAGGAAACAGCTAACTCTAATACTAGAATTTGAGGGAAGAACAAAGGTTCATTTGAGGCCTCATGCAAGGGAGGGCCTGGTTAGTTGGGCCTATCTAGAATACTTGAGGACTTTCAATGGCAATTTAAAAAGGATTTATTGCTCCAAACACACCCTAAGCTGAGCCCCAAAGGAGGAATGTCTTGCAGAGGCATGCAGGAGCAGGTGCACGTCATCTCTTCTAGGCCGCTTAAGTGAATGCACGATGATGATTTCATTGGGCCCTTCCAGTGGTTTCAGTGACAGTTTTAAGGAGAAAGCTGGAGATGATCTAAGATAACATAAAGGGCTGGGGTAGGGTTGAGGGGGAGAAGCCAGAGTGCCAAGGCTGAATAATAAATGACCTGAGAACACTCTGGAGGATACATATAAGTGGCACCTTTCCCTGCTGGGAATGTAATATATGTCCTCAAGGACTGATATTTGTGGCCAAACTGAGACACTTAACTTTATTTCCTTATAAATGGACCATTCTTTCCACATCTCTTATAACACGTGTGTGTCAAATTCCAGAAGAAATTTAACCAATGCTGTTTCAAACACCTCCTAGTTTATGGAGGTGTTTATGGCTGCTAATCTTGCACTAATGAAATGAGATGGCAGATATAAAAGTGCCAGTGTCATCTGATATTTATTATTCACTACCACCATAGCAAAATGTTTCTCAGAAAATAATACATATTAAGATGATAAATTTATGAGTATTTTTCCAGTCACAGAGTCTTTAAAAGAACACACACACATATATATGTGTGTATGTGTATATATATATATATATATATATATATATATATTTGTCTTATGACAAAAAATTAGCAAGAAGTCGCATCACTTAATCAAATCAATGTTTCCATTTAACCCGGTCACCTTTTAGTTCTTGTGTATATGGTTAGGTGCATCAAGTGTTGATAAAAATTATGTTGTGCATCAATAACTCACACTAGGAAATGACTATCCCTTAATTAAACAATCACCTTAATTTTAAAGAAAACTAGACAGACACAATCATAGGGACAGAAATGCAATAAATAATAAATTTGGCAGATATATGCAGATTAAAGTGAATCCTTATTATGAGCTTTTTCATGTTGGCATATCATATTAAAATAATTTGAAGTGTTGGCAGCAGTCTCCATTTCCATTTATATGAAGGCAGGTGGAAAATAGTTGAAACTTTTTCTGAATCTAGCACATATACATTTTATGGTACTTATGATATTATAGATTCCCAGGGTTGGTCAGGCCAAAAAGGATACTCTGGATAAATATAATCTATATGTGATTTCACAACTCCATTGTATTCATCAATTGTATTTCTATTTCAAAGCTCAGAGCAAAAGTTACTTTAGACAATGGTTAACATATTATTATGATATATTTGTCACATTCCTCCTTTTATAAATCTAATTCTGAATGTTACTTATAATTACACCCAGAAATGCATTCTAATTTTGTACTTCCTTGATATTTATAACTTACTTTCAACATTAAATTAATCTACTCTTTGCTCATGTCTTTAAAAAGTCTTTGGCTAAACGCAATTTAATTCTGATTCTAATAAATTAATATTGATTTTTTTTTGCCTATGACATATCTAAGAATGAAGCAACTAAATGAGTTTTAGTTGTATCTCTATTCCTTTCTCCTTTCTCCTTTCATGCCAACAAGCAGTGATCTAGCTAAATGGCAGCCCACCCCCCAAAATAGGATGATTCAAAAATTCTTGACAGGATATTTTGTATTTTTTAATATTCATATAAATAAGAGTTGACTGCATTTAGCTGCAGTATACCCATGCGATGAAAACATGGAAAAAGCAAATAATTCATCAAGCCTTCCATATATTACAAATTCTTTAGCTTAGCATTCAGAGGCCTAATTCAAACATAATTTCTAGTTTGTACTGAGACCTAACTGGGCAACATCCTAGACATACCCATATCCATGGCTTTGCTCATGTCACTCAAATCCTTTCTGTTCAACTTCTAGGGTTTAGAGTCCAATTCATTTTTTTTAAAGGTACCAGTTAAATTTCTCCTTCCAAATATCTCCAACCAAAATTTTATTCCAATCATTAATTAATTTTAACTTGCCTACTAATAGCCAGGCCCTCAATAAGCATTGGAAACTCATGGTCTTAATCAAGAGGATAATCTCAAGTCATCTGTGGGTCATGTTTGTTCCCTGCCTTATTCCAAAAAGTGGTTAAGGAATTGGGTGAGTGGATGGATGGAAGAAGGACGGACAGTAAACATGGCAACGAAAGTCAGTCTGTGCCAGGTGTGTGGATGAGAGGCTGTGGAACCATAGATCAGCAGCAAGACCAGGAGCAGGCAGCCGAGACAGATGGAAC